ACCAGTGGCCCCATTCAGGGGCCACTAAAAGTGGTCTCTGGCAGGAGTCTTTGCAGCACAAAGTGCAGTGCAGCACACGTTCTCAAGGGGGCCCCGAGGAAGCCTGAACCAGAAACAAGTTTCAGCACTGTGTATATGATTCTATTTATATTAAATATCTAGGATAGGCAAACCTATAGAAACAGAAAATAGATTTGTGGTTTCCGGTGACTGGGATGTAAGAGAAATGGAGAGTAACTGCTAATAGAAATAACATTTCTTTCCGGGGTGATGAAAATATTTTGGAATTAGATAGTGGTGAGGGCTGCACACTTTATGAGTTGTATACTTTGAAAATGTTGCATATGAAAAGGGTGGTGAGCCGGTCTATCTTATAATAGAGGTTCCTAGTATTATCCAGTGGTTTTCCTTCTCCTGTCAGGAACAGAGGAAAGTAAGGGATTAAATAATTCTGCCACAGCACTTAATATTGAAAAGGCTGGAATCAGATTTCAAGTTGCCTATATAGGGTGGCCAAATGTCTGGAAACAAAGGTAGAGGACTAAGGCTGTGCTCTCAAAGAAACAACATACACAGAAAGTGAGAGTAAGCCAGAAGGGGGTTGCCGGTCCATGAGCAGTGGCAAGCCTCAGCTGCGCATTCCAACTTGCCTAGACCTGACCTAGAGCCCCACCCACAAATTTCCCAAGGTGGCAACTCAAATTAGGAAGCCAAATGAGGTTCTCCAAATTTTATAAGATCCCTTTACACACAATCTGTGGGCTCCTCTCTATAATGGCCCAGGAAAAGGAAACAGCAGGAGCAAAAGTTTTCAGTTTTCAGGAGAAACAGTAAGGGATCAGCAATAGTTGGCAGGATTGTTGATTACTTCCAGGAGGCACAGCAGTCAGGATGACTTTAAAATGCAAATTATCTCATGTTACACCTATTAAAACTCTTTCAAGCATTCAGAAAACATGCAAACTCCTGACAACCACCTAGTATAAAATGCACATTGTGTACTGGCTCCAGCCCTACCCACTGGCACCTTCCTTTTCATCCTCTTGCAACCACTTCCTTCTCAGAGAACAGACCCCAGTTCCTCCACCAGCCTGGGTACCTGCTGCCCCAAGGCCTGGCACACTCCACTCCCTCTGCTGGGCCCTTTCTCATTCCTCACATCTTAACTGTGAGAGTATGGCAGATAACTATCTGAGGAGGGTCCTTCCAGTTACTCTCTACACAGCGCTCTGTCAATTTTCTGTAGAGGATTCACCACACTGTCGCTACTTTACCCTTTCTTGCAGTTCACCCCGGTAGATGGTTCTTTCAGGAAAAATGGAGAACATGTCTGCCTTAGCCCCTGGTGTGTCTAAAGTGTCGCCACTGTACCTGGCACATGATTGGCATTTGACTGTTGCGGAATTGATGAACTTTGGTTGGGGAACATCAGGAGAATTACAATAGGCAAGGAAAACAAAGTGAAGATAATCATAGATCACACTCAAAGTGACTCTGACTTAGGTGCTATTGACACTGCTATTTTCAAGAGCTTTCTTTTGACAATGATACACATTGGTTAAGCAATGAACAGACTTGAGACTAATGTAACACTGATTGCCTGACTGTTTACTAACTAGGGTTTTACTCGCACATAATTCCACATCTTGAATCTCCTTCACAAAGTAAAGGCCAAGTAGGCCTCTGGATTAGTCCCAGGTTCAACAGGACATTTCCCCTTCCCTTTCACCCCACCTTCAAGGAAAAAGCACAGGGTACTGCTGTTACCATACACCAGGGGTTCTCAACAATGCTCATTAAATCCTTTAAGACTAGTAAAAAAATCAAGGAAGTTAAAAAATTCCCACCTCCAGGCTGTACCACTTAAGAATTTCTGGGGGCTGGAGCCAGGCATTTGTATTTTTTAAAGTTCCTCAAATAATTCCAATGGATAGCCAAGGCTGGGAACAACTATTTGGGGGGAAAGCCACATACTTGTAGAGACCATTTAATTCATCTAATTTCCTTATCATCATAGATTCATATTTACTTTAAAGGTAAAAGAGTTGGATCTATCAAAAAGGAGTATACTGGGGCCTCCCTGGTGGTGCAAGGGGTTAAGTTGCCGCACTATGAAGCTATCTGCAGCCACTGCACTGCAGCACGAGTTAATACCAGGCCAGGGAGCTACCCACATAGCACAGCAGACCTCTCCTGTCTCACTGCCTGCTCCCCTCCGCAGTGTATTTCAGTGGATCTGCCAGTTCTGCTTCCCACTCTGTCTCTGATGAATCCTCTTACCCCTATACCTCTGGTCTGTATGCCAGTATTGTACGCATAAATAAATCTTTAAAAAAAAGGGAGAATACTTTGAATTAAATACCAACCCAAAGATATTCATAAACTATTTCTTGAGTTTTTGCTTAAATTGTGAAATTCCTTTGATTAGATTTTTAATTTTTTTTCCAACTCATATTAAGGTATACTTCAAATGTCACTTTACCACAGATATTTAAATAGAAAAGAAATGTGTACACTTGAATAGAATAATTCTAATATATGTAAAGCCAACTTACCTGACTACTAAGAAATATGACAATTTTACAGAATTCCTTGCAATAGACAGGAACATTTAGTTTCTTTTAAGTAAAAAGAGGCATAATATAAAATTGACTGTCTACAAACAAATGATAAAGCCAAAAATGACTGGCTTGAAATTACCTCAAAATACAACTAAAGAAATAGTCCCTGATAGAATTAATCCACTTCAGGTTAAGGAAAAGTAATTCTGGCTTCATCTCAATTATATCCACTCCTATACATATATGGATCTACATATCCCACTTAGAAACAGATGTCTAACTTTCTAAAGTCCATGCCAATGAATAGCCACACCATCAGAGAAGGTTATGGAAAAACACAAAAAATAAGATTATGTACAAAATGGCACTGATGTGGAAGTGATGTTTTTTTCATACTATTTGGTATTTTAGAAAATCCACATTTCTTGCTAGTTCATTGTAACTCAAGCAGCTACGCAGTTATTAATGTGCCACACAAGATTTATTCTAACTGTAATCAATAACATCTAAAGCACAAATCTGAGAAAGACTTTGCATGTTTTGTTTTTTTTTGGTTAAAGAACACTTTTTTATTTACATATATACATATATGTATATGCTACTTATTATACATGTACACACACATATGTGGAAAGGTAATATATTTGCACACTAAACCCTCACTTAGCTTTTTCCTTCTAACTCTTCTCTTTTTATAGCCAAGTTCATTGAAAATGTCTTCTTTCTCAGTGAACACAGCATATATCGCTTTGAATTAATGTAAAAGAATATCTTTAAATACGGTGATATGCAAGCCATTTTGAATCAGGTTTGCTTACTAACTTTCTATAGACAGCAGACAGCACATGACATTTTATGGAAAACTGCTATTCATGTACCTTTTTCGCTGATGGACAAGACAAACCAGTTTTTCTAGCCTTCCTTTGGCATCATTTAGTATACACATAAAATCTGAATGGTATGTTCTTGGAGAGGGTAAAAGCACTTCTCAACTGTAAGACAGAGTGCCTCCAAATTCGTAAGCAAGCAATGTATGTAGGCAGACTTTCTGAGTGTCACTGTGTGTCTGCACAAGACTATACAGTTACTATACAGTTACAAGTAGTCTTGTGTAATTTCCACTTCATTGTTCAAATCAGAACTAACATCTTTTAAAATGTTACTTCCCCTTCTAGTCATATATTAAATTCTAGCCCGGCCCATGATAGAAACAAGGTATAATAATGTGTTATCTGTGTTTTAGCTGAACAGCTGAAAATCTTTTCTTTCTTAATTTTTGTCCCTAGGGTTGAGGAAAATTGCAGAGATCAATTCAATGACAGTAAAACCCACCAGCTTTCTTAGGAAGAACTGTAGAGTAAAACAAAATTCATTTGTGGGAAAGAATGATTCCTATGTCAATCTATCTAAAAGTTAAATTGTGGAATACCTGTCAAATAATCACACTGTAGAGTAAAAACAACTTCAACTAGTAATTTGGATAAAAATCTGATGATTCATCTTTAATTAGTTTAATTATATAAATTATTTATAAAACCAAGATCACATTAGTTATATAGAGACACTTATATCCCTATATAAGGGATGCACTTTATAAAGTTTATTTTTATACTAGGGTAAGCATTCCTATTTGCCTGTAACAATTGGCAAAGCTTTTTAAATTCAAGAAGGTAAAATTCTCCCTAACTTAATTAACATAAATAAAAAATAACAATTAACATAAATTCAAAATTAAGGAAGTCCTAACCGTTGGGATTTTACCATCTCTGAACATCTGTAAGTTGAAATATACATAAGAATAATTATTAAGAAGAAATCGGGGCCTCCCTGATGGCGCAGCGGTTGAGCGCTGGGTTTCGAAGCTGCCCGCGGCCTCTGCAGCGCCAGTTCGATCCCAGGGCTGCTCCCCGGCCACCGGAGGAGGGTCCCGCATGGCGCGCAGACCTCCCCTGCCGCCCGCTGCTCCCCTCAGCAGTGTACTTCAGTCTGCCTGCTCCCCACTCTGGCTCTGGTGAATTCTCTCTCCCTCCCGCGCTTCTGACTGTACCCAGTGCTTGTATAAGTAAAATAAATAAATCTTAAAAAAAAAAAAATAGATAGCCTTTCTACTTAAAAAAAAAAAAAAAGGAAGAAGAAGAAACCATCTCTCTCAGCCCCTAGGGATCTCCCTGGCAGTACAGGCAGGTTGTCTGTATTGTGACACTTTTCATTGTGCTTGGGTTGGAATGTAGACACCAAGCCAGGATAATGTGATGAAATATACATTTCGACGAATCATCAGGCATCAAATTAAGCTCTAAAATGTGTAACCCTAAGCAGTCGGTTACTCCAGTGCTTTGCCATCTCTCCCAGGAAAGTGGCGCTACCCTGCCCCTGGGCACCCCCGCGTCCCGGGGCAGTGAGTGGACGTGAAGGGGCGGCTGCGGGAAAGCCACTTACGAGATGTAGGCTGGGTAGCCAAATCCGATCAGGTTGCAGAGGAGAGAAGCGCCATAACCGAACACCAGGTACAGGGCCACCAGCCCGACGACACCTGCAGACCCGAACAGAGGAGTGAGTCGCCGGCCCCGAGCCGCTCAGCCCCGCGGCCTCCCCACCCCCGCGACGCTGGGCCTGGCGTTCAGGAACAACAACGCACAGCGAGGCTGGGCCCGCGCCCCCCCGTCCTTCCCTTGAGTCTCGGGGCGCCCGGCGCCCCCCGCCCCGGGGCCCTCGCGCCACTCCCCCCGCCCGCAGCGGCCCCGCCCGGCCCCGCCCGCCGCGGGCACCGACACGTCAGCGCCCCGCGGCCCCGCGCCCGGCTCCGCCCGCCACCCGGCCCGGGGCGCAGGCCGGCCACGCCCTAGCCTGGCCGCCGGGCGAGACCGCCGGCCCCCGGCCTCTCTCGGCCAGCAGCCCGGCCCCGGGGGAGGCCTCGCGGCCGCGCGTCCCCGACGCCCCCTCCCGGGCCCCGTCCCCGCCCGCGCCCCAGCAGCGGAGCGGCAGCGGTCCCCGAGCCCGCGGCGCCCCCCGGACCCGGCACCCACCGAGCGCGATGTAGCTGCGGTTCACGCCGGTCTTGGCCTCGAGCTTGGCCAGGAGGTCGGTCATGCGGTTCTTCTCGTGCAGGAACTGGTCAAACCTCTGCCTCATGGCCGCAGACATGGCGGGGACCGTCGCGCCGCCCGGGGCTGCTCCTGGTGCCGGTGGCCGCGAGCCGGGGTGCCGGGGGCGGGAAGCGGGCGGGGCGGCGGCGGGCGGGGCGGCCGCTCGGCCACGTCCTCGCGGCGCCCGCCCTCCCGCACCTCGCCACGCCCGGGCGGGGCCCCTCGGAGGCGGCCGGCGCTGCTGCCGCGCCCGGGCTGCTGACCGCGCGGCGGAGCGGGGCGCGACGGGCGTCCGGACTCGCAGCTCCGGTCCCAGCGCAGAATGTGGCGGGGAGGGGGCGGGCGCGGGGGGCGACGAGACGGGCTTCTCGGACCACGACCGCGGCGATAAAACTAGCAACGCGTTTCAAATCAATCTGAAAATTGAAATGTGCCACCATCCTGGAAGAACCTTTGGTTACTGACCTAATTTTTCCTTCGTTGCCAGACTCGGCATCGTTTTTCTCACCTATTGATGTTAGTTTTTTTTTTTTTTTTAAGACTGCTGAAGACACATGCTTTCTTTGGGGGGACATCCTCTTCAAGGAAATTTTGCACTACCTAACTTTTCAAGGCGGACTGGAATTCACTTGATGTCTGATGTGGTGATAATATTTCTAACCCCCTTCAGCTCTAGCTTACAGACAAAATCTCGCGAAGATGGTCTTTCCAGCTTTGGAGCACGACCTCATTTGACCAGAAAGCCGTGCCCCTGCTCTTCCTCCACCTGAACTTCATCTCTTATTCTCTCTCACCCATGTTATTCCAGGAGACTCCTTTTGAAATGATTCTTTCTAGCTCAAATGTTCCATCCAGAGCTGAGTCATTAATTATTACAGCAGTTACTGACCCTGACCTCTACATACTCTGTCCTACACAATCCCTTCTGCTCTTTCAAAAGAATTTAACTACTATTGTGCCTTCCATTTCAGCAAAAGATTACTTGCACACTCTTTTTTCATTTTATGCTGATTCTACATTCTTCCTTTCTTCCCCAGAGTTTCTTAGCTCAGTTCTATAAGCTGTCTGCCACACCCCTTCCACAACCACCATCAAGCAGCCAAATCAATGAACACATTAATCCAAATTAAAAATGAATGGAATCGTGGAGCTAGTCCCCCAACTGGACTTTCCATTTCTGTCTTTGCGCCTACCGTCAGTTCTCAATGTGACAATCATTTGTACCATTTTAAAATTGTGCGTTCAGTGATCTTTTAACTCTTAGCTTTGCAGTGGTGTCACATCTGCCTAAAGATTGGCATCAAGAGTGCCTAAAGACAGAAGAGCTAAAAAGACATGTCTCCAGAAGAAATGCAAATGACCAACAGGCATATGAAAAAATGTTCAACATCACTTATGTCAGGGAAATGCAAATCAAAACTACAGGGAGATAGCACCTCACACTTACTAAAAAAACAGAAACAACAAATGCTGGCAAGGATGTAGAAAAAAGTAACCCTCTTACACTTCTGGTGGTAATGAAAACTGGTCCAGCCCCTTTTATGGAGCTGACTTTTATGGAAAGCTGTGTGGAGGGTTCTCGATTACTAAAAATGGATCTACCATGTGATCCAGCAATTCTACTCCTAGGAATCTACCCAAAGGACACAAAAACATTAACATAAAACCTGCTCTCCTATGTTTATTGCAGCACTATTTACAATATCTAAGATATGGAAAAAACCTAAATGCCCCCAAAACAGATGAATGGATCAAGAAGTAGTATATATACACAGTGCGATACAACTCAGTGATCAAAAATTATAAATTCATGCCTTTGCAGCAACATGAATGGAGCTAGAAGGGATTATGCTAAGTGAAATAAGTAGAAGGAAAAAGATAAATATCAGGTGGTTTCATTCATATGCGGGCTATGGAGAAACCAAACAAGGATCAGGAAAAAAACAAAACTTGCAAGCTGACCATAGATCTGAGGAGAGGGAGGAGAGGGGTTTAAACAGGGGAGAGAAGAACACAAGGGCATATGATAATGGATCACAGGTGCTGTGGTTGTGGAAGAACTATGAGTACTGCACCTAAGGGGAGAAATCAAATACTGTCCAAAATTAATAATATAAGAAAATAAATGAAAATGCTAAAAAATAAAAGAGTGCCTAAAGCTAAGCCCACTCTTTCCCCTGGTTTTCGCTCTACTTCTAGCTCAGTGGTTTCAACCAGAAGCCATTTTGCCCCCCAGAGGACATATGGCAATGTCTCTCTAATCCTGAATTGCAACCACCAACACTCTTCCTGTGTTTTTCTCCTTAGCATTTGTTTCTGTCTGACATTTCTCAATGCTCTACTTTTTAATTTTTTTCTTTTCCCCTAGATTTGAGCTTCATGATGATAGATTTTTTCCTGTTTTGTATACTTGTAACTCAAACAGCTTGAATAGTTCCTGGCACTTAATAGACAGTCAGTAATTTTTGTTGAATGAATATCAAACATGGTGGTATGAAATACCACCCAGCATTCTAAATGCTACATGTACTGATTCATTTACAGCTAAATTTAGCTGTCTCACTTTGGGCAAGTTACATAAACGCCCATCCTTCTGTTTCCTAATCCGTAAAACAGAAATATCAGTAGTACCTATTTCACAAGGTTGTCATGATGATTAAATGAATTACTTTTACAAAGTTCTGAAAGCATGGATACAAAATAAATATTTGTTAATAATTTAAGAAAGAAAGAAAAACTCCACAAGACTAGATGCTAAAATTGAATTAGAGGAACACTAAATATTTTTTGCCTTTAGGAAATTACAATCAGGTTGGGAAGTGTGGGACCTTTAGCTCCAGTCATCATTAAAAAGCTTAGATGCTTTCATAGATAAGTAAAAAGATAGAGGAGATAAGAACTCTGCCTCACATCGAAGATCATTCACCCACTCATGTTCATTAAGTTTATCCTATGTGTCAGATGCTCCTAAACCTGGAAACCAGATAGACTAGGTCTCTGGCAGGCCATGGAGAAAGCTAGCTTGAAGCACATTAATGTCTGCAATCCCTAAGAAGGAAGTCAGATAAACTTGGGATGATGTTCATGCCATTGCTATTGCTTCCATTCATTAGAGAAGGAAAGTCTGCTGGAAACACACGTTTTCAGGTCACTTTGGTTCTTTAAGTGAAGATAATTTTTCAACTACTTGAAGTCATTAACACTTCTGTTCTAATTCTCTCATGGGTGTTAGGTAGAAGATGTAGGGCAAAATTTACAGGATATTTCTTTAGTACCCTTCCCCAGCCCCCACACTTGGAAGGGACCCTGACTTTTACTGGAGCCTGACACCCACGAAGCAGCCAACATTCTTATCTGAAGGCTCTCAGCCCCTTCAACCGAGCCCTGTTGGCACGCACTCCCCTCCCTTTGCTGAAGAAGGTTGATGGTGACATGTCAACAAAATTAAAAGGAGAAAAGACTAAACACAGCCTGAGACACAAACTTGGCAGAAGACAGCAGGAAAATGGAGAGGCTAGATGTAATTCATGAAAGCATGTTAAAAGAAATAAAATGTGAAAATTACCATGCTTCATTGAATATATGTGAATTACATTTTGCTTGCTTTGTCTTAAATAAACATTTTCTACTAAAAATATGGACATTTTATCATGTATTCATTTATCAAACGGGAAGTTGAATTTTAGAAAATTACTGCTCACAATTAAGAATAAACCTTGTGATTTGTTGTTTAACAATGTATTATTTTTCTGAAATTAATACCAAACAACGCAATTGCAGAGAAATCTGGAGATTTTCACCAGATAAAAGATTTCTTCTAGCGGCGCGAGGGGTTAAGATACAACCTATGAGACTGTCTGCAGCCTTTGCAGCACAAGTTTGGTTCCCAGTTAGGGAGCTACCCAAAAGGCGCAGCAGACCTCTCCTGACTTGCCCACTGCTCCCCTCAGCAGTGTATTTCAGTCAGTCTGCCTATTCTGTTTCCCACTCTGTCTCTGGTGAATCCTCTCACCCCCCACACCATAACTTTGGCCTGTACCCCAGTTCTTGTATGCATGAATAAATAAATCTTTAAAAAGAAAAGAAAAGAAAACAGTCTATAAAAAAATGTCTTCTAATTCACCCTTTTGTTTCTCTAGAGGCACTGCACAATAGATAGATAGAAAATAAGTCACTGAAAAGTTGTTCCTCTGAATTCAAGACTCGCTCAAGATAAACCATGGTAATTAGATTCCCGCTTTGGAATCTAAATGCTCCCAGGATATGATGTCAATTACAGAGAACGTCTCAGATCTGCCTCATAGCCTACATGGTGGCATGCATTTTGCTTTTCTTCCCATATAAGAAAAGGACAAGAAAGGGTCAATTTTCTGTACTTTCCTTTGTGAAAAGACATCAGAAAATTTAGTTAACTTGACTAGAGGAACTGATCAGTTGTATTAGTTTCTTATTGCTGCTATAACAAATTACCACAAACTTGGGGGCTTAAAATAACAGAAATTTATTATCTTACAATTCTCTATGTCAGATGTCTTGCACAAGCCTCACTGGGCAAAAGTCAAAGGGTTGTCAGCAGGGCTGCATCCTTTCTGTAAACTTACAGGAAAATCTGGCTTTTGTTCATTTTGGGTTGTTGGTAGAATTCAGGTCTGTATGGTGGTGGGACTGAAGTGGCATTTCCTTCCTCTTCTTCAAGTCAGCAGCAGTGGATTGAATTCCTTTCATACTGCAAGTTTCTCTTCCTTTTCCTTCTCTCTCATCTCTCTGAACCATGTGCCTTCTGCTTCATGTGATTGGATCAGACCACCCAGATAATCTAGGGGAGTCTTCCTATTTTAAGGTCCATGACTTTAATTATATCTTGAAAGTCTCTTTTGCTATGTAAGGGGATATATTTACAAATTCTCAACATTAAGACATGGGAACATAGGAGAGTCATTGTTCTGTGCTCTATGCCATACTTATATGTGACAGGGTGGCTCATAAACAGCCTCAAGTTTCCTGGGATTAATTAATATGTTGAGGTCAATCAGCGTAGTCCTTTCACAGGACTCACATTGGGAATCAACCAAAGACTTGGCACAGGTTCAAATAAGGCACAGGTCCTAAAGAAGA